TAACCGATTAAACGTAATGTGTATTTGTGATGTTTACGCATACCTACCGTTTTCTTTATAGTTTATGTCTAAACACAAATTATTAAATGTTTAAAATATTTAAAATGCGTTTAAGGCCGGGCTGATTTAGTATAGGAACGTGACTGCTGTACATTTAGTACAATAACAATATTAACAAACGTTTTTTGCTGAAATTGCACGAAAAGTATCTACCAATAATATATGTGTACACAGTCTTTGACTTTGACTTTGACACACACACACACACACAAACTTCTGTTAAAACTGATTAAGTATGTAGTGTATGCGCAGTTAATATCAGTTAATCCTTATAATATGCTTATGCACTAAAATTATAAAAAATATTATTTTTAACTCGTTGAACATATTGTCGGTTTTTATCTAATTAAAACAGCTCGCAGCACTGTAAACCTATATTGCGCGTATGTTATAATATATACCAGTGGTTCTTGACTTACGGTCTCCGACCTCCGTAACATTCATGTCAGGCCCAATCAGTGGTCCACGTTATTCCGATCGTATACAATATACGTATACAGAGGTTTTACGAATTAATGATTTAATATAAATATAAATAGAGAGTATAATAACATAACACTGGTTGATGATAATGGAGGTATGGTGTAGTAGAAAAAAAGTGAATATAATAAATAAAAAAAAGAGAACTAGAAAGAAAAGGATATTATAAAAAAAGTAAAAGAAAAAGCTGTGTGGTATGTTGAGGTAAATATAAATGAGGTTTGGAAAATAATGGTTACCTGTGTTAAGAATACAGCAAGAGGTTGTAGATGAAACTAAGAGTAGTATACCAGAAAACAAGGAAACATGGTCGCGGAATGAGGAAATTCAGAGAATAGTAGCAAATAAGAAAAAACAATTTAATTTATAATAGAAAATTAAGAAGAGAGAAGATTGGATAGAGTATAAAAATATATGCCAAATAGTTAAAAGTGCGGTAAGCAAATTGAAGCTCAATTGGTATGATGAGTTATATGAGAAGCTAGAAAAACGGAAAGATGAAAAATAAATGTATGGACTGGCTAAGTTTTGAAAAAACGATCCAGGAATTTTCAAAATATTTAGTGAGCAAAAAATGAGAATAAGAGGGTGTTAACAAATAATGGAGAAGTAAAAAAGATAAAAAAAGAATATTTTGAGTGTTTATTGAACGAGGAGTATCCAAAAAAGCTTTAATGAGCAGGAAATTTTAGGCAATTTCCATTTTTTTGTGTTAGACAAGTAATAGAGAAATTTAGGGAAAAGAAGGAAAAATTATGTTTATAGATTTAGAAAAGGCGTAAACGAAGTGCCAAGAAGTTTTAAAGTGAGCATAAATGAGAAAAAAAGATCTTATAAATATATATAAGTTTTATTCAGGATATTTATGAAGGCTTGAGAACTTGTGTAAAGAATTTGTGTGGAATAACAGAAGATTTTAATATAGGAGTTGATGCGCATCAGGGTTCGGCTCTAAGCCCATATTTGTTCTCTGTGGTAATGGATGAAATTACGTGAGATACAGGGTGAGATACCATGGTGTATTATGTTTGCTGATGATATAGTTTTGGTAGGAGAAAATCTGGAAGAAGTTAACTATATAGGTTGATCATGTAGAAGTTAGCCCTTGAAGGAAAGGGATGAAAAATTACTATAAATAAAATAGAATATATATATATATGTATATACCTATATATTCTAATTTTGGAGTAAAATATCAAGAAGTTGAGGGTACGATTAGACAAATGACAATAAGCAGTAATAGGTGAAGTCAAGAACTTTTAATACTTAAGATCATTTGTAAAAAAGAATGAAGGATTTAGCATGGATATAAAACATAGGATTAAGTACGGTTGGATGGAATGGTGAGAAGCGGCGGGCGTTTTACGTGATAAGAGAATTCTAATAAAGCTAAAAGGTAAATTTTACTGTAGTGCAATGATATCAACCAGTGCATTTTTTAACTTATATACCGGGTGAAACAATTGTCGCCTAGTTAATATTGTTTGTGACCTAGACGATGATATCTTTAATTTTTGGGTGACAACGATGTTTTAGCAAAAATTAATTTAGTAGCTTAATATAAATTACTATTTAGTAGTAATTTATTAAGCTTGATTTTATAATTTGTATATAATTTCGTTTAACGATTTGAAGTTGAAACAATAATCATATTAATTATCAGAATATTTACAAAGGGAAACCATACGATATTGTATTATATATATCATTACGAGTTTGGATGGTATTATTAATATTTCTAAGGTTTAAAAAACTTTTTAATACTGGTTTCTAAGACTGCAATTTTTTTTTCTTTCGGTTTTTCATAGTTTATTGATGTTTATTTTATCGATTATATTGATTATATGCATGGACATTTTTTTTTTTTGTCAACCAGAGAAAATCCCTTAAAATATTCATGGATACCAATTATACTGTGTGGTTCAGAATATGAATGTTGCGAAAATGAGAATGGATGAGTGGAATAACAAGAGAAGATAGGATAAGGAGTGAATATGTAAGATGTAGTATTGATGTAGCGTCGATAGTGGATAAAATGTGAGAAAATAGTTTGAAATGGTTTGGGCATGTAATGAAGCAAGAGGAAACAAAAGTAGTAAGAGTGGTTATGAAAATGAACGTTGAAGGGAAAAGAGAAATAAGATCAAGAAATAGAGAAATAAATTTAATATTGAAAATAATATGAAAGCCATTGGTGTGTACTTAGGAGATGTAGAAAATTGAGACAAGCGAGGGTTTAGAACAAGGGTGGCCAACCTCAAATATTTGGGAAAAAAGCGAAGGAGAAGAAGAAGATTTGTTTTATAACCATCTAGTATCGTGTTTGAAACTTATATCAGATATGCAACACCAATATTTGCATTTACTAATTTTTATTGTATCATTAAAGATATAATTGTACATTTTAGAATGAAATAAAGAAAAATTTGTGTAAAAAATATTTTAATGCCATTAAAAAATTTGAAAACCTAAGTTAATGATATATTATTTTTTTGTGAGTTTAAAATTATTTTTGCAAAGATCCGCGTGCCACATATGGTTTAGAACCGCTGATATATATTATAAATATATTATATTTGTACGGTAATGTTTTTTTATTTTTTTCCATACACTTAATCGCGCATCCAAACCGTGGTTTTCTAGTTTTAGTATATAAACAAACACACAGCGGTGTATAGTTTTACCGTTATAGGGTCATTTCATGAATAAGTTGCTAATATTAACGCACCGACCGTAATTCAACATAACAGCGATGGCGTACTGACGTGCGGTTTTTTTGTGTGCGCCGGCGAAACTCGTCGTGTACACCACAGTATCATAATAATAATGCCTCATATTATTATTAATTTTTTAATGTTTATCGATACATTTCTACCCGTTCCATAAAAAACGAAACGATAGACGGACAAGCTGAAATAACAATATATTATTGTTATGCGCTTGTGCAATACACGTGACACGTGTACACCTAGTCTACTAATTGAGGGCCATCAATAAGTAAACAAATAATACATGGTTCCGGTGGATGAAATCGGTATGATATATCAGCGTCTGAAGAATTTGCAGTGCATTTGTGATACCATGTATGAGGTCAACCGGGTATTCGTGGGTTAGCGAATCATGGTCATAAGCGTTGTGTCCAAAAGCAGATTATTATGATGGTTAAGCAAAACATCAAAATCGGGTGAATAAACGAAGCAAGGGAAAAAAAATAAAATTAAAACAATATAAAATAGAAAAAACTAAAACAAAATGATGGCCCAATAAATAGTAGCTTTTTAAATGTTTTATTTAGCGATTAGTTACTTTACAATATTTTTTGAACACTGCAACGCAATGTCGTGTTTGATTAGTTGGAATTAATATGACCAAAGGACTGAGTTGAGATTATAGTTTGAACTCGAATAGTTTTATCAGAGACAAAAAATATTATACATTAAAAAATAAATGTAAGTAAAATATTGCTGCAAGCATAACGTGTGGTAGAAGTAATTTAAGTTATAATTATTTTTTTTGCGTGAAAATAAAACTATTTGAGCTCGAAACGAAATGAAAAAACATGTTAGTTTGATAAAAAATTATTTATACTATATTTATTGGCCATTAAAATTAAATTTTTTTAAAATAATAAATAAAACATTAAAATAATAATAATAATAAAATCGTGCTAATCGTATACAATATCTATAAGTGAAATGATATAAGCTATAACTTAATTTAAAAATATACATATACAATTTTGATGAAAAAAAAATATTTCATAATATTATGAGTACATAAATAGGATGTTTAGTATCTTTATAATATACAATTCAACAACGTTAAAATGTAATGAAGCTTTTGGCACCAGACCAAATTGTGCCGTCAAAAACTAAACTTAATTGTATATTATATGTATATAGAATTTAAAGAGTTCAAGAATAAACACTTATAGAACACAAAATCGTTCTTAGAGTAAATATATATTAAAATATAATTAAATTTTAAAATATTTATTTTATATTCTTATGATATTTATATATTTATTTAAGAAAAAAAAATCGTATTTTGCAATAAAAATGTACGTTAATAATTCGATAGTATTATGAAGATTGACGAAAACTAATGGGTATATTGAATAATTAAATATTATATTAAATTATACTTTGGCGTCAACCGTGATTCCAAAGTATTGACAAGGGAAGACTAGATTCGTTACCAAATTGGTATATATACAGGGCCGTGTTAAGAGGGGGGTGGGGGTTAAAAGGGGCAATTTCCCCCGGGCGCCGTAGTTTTGTAAAAGTAAGGAGGCGCCCTTACCTACACTTAGTATAATACCTTAATATAATATTAATATACTACCTGTGCTCAGTGGCCCTGAAAAAAAATTTTGCCCTGTGGCGCTGAAATGTTTGACACGGCTCTGTATATATATATATATATATAGATTAATGACTAGAAACGTTAGAAATGTATTATAAAATATATATAGTTTAAAAAAAAGAAAACAGTAATTAAAAATTAATCGGCATACATTTTATGTTGTTATGTGCAATGTATAAGTGTGTTTGAAGCGTTGGGTCAGTTGAGAAAAAAAAGGCAAAATAGTAGTGTTTTTTTCTTTCTATTTTCGTGTTTATCATTAATTTTTCTGTTATTAAAATAAGACAACCACCGCCACCACCACCACCGATCGTCAGATGCATCTACCACATTAACGAAAACCTTTTTTTTTTCGGTATGTGGTTTACGGAGATTTTCTTTAGGCACGTGCTGGCCACATTTCTTCGTGGTTTAAACAAGTTTACCTGTAGGCCGACTTTAATACGTTTGGTGAGCGCTCCCTGCGGGAATACAGCCTGCACCTGTGGTACCACTGTCGATGATACCATACCGCCCTCCGGCCCGATGGCGTGCACTTCTTGCTTCACTCGAGATACGATTGCGAAATAATGTGGAAACTCCGTAGTCACAATCCGCGTCAGACGGTTTCCGGAATGCCACGGGTCGCGATCTGTAAAACATTAGTCGGTCAGATACGGAGAAATTGTCAATCTTGCGTTCATTGTAATAATATCTGTCGACCTACGCGCACACTCTAATTCATCGATTCCAACGTCAGTATTTTTTTCATTTTAAAGTCAGTATTTGAAAGAGCACTAAGGGAGGTGATTTTTCTGTAATTATTTTGTACTAACTAGATTGAAATAATATTTTTAGTAGACATTTACATTTATAAGTAAAAATTATTTTTAAAATGAAATTAAATGGTTGATTATAAAAATTAAATTATCTAAAAATTGATTAGGAGTAAGGAGTGGAATATGAGATTTTTAGAAACTTAAATGTTAAGAAAAAATAAAAATAAATGACTCGCGGGCAATGGTATTCATATAAGATTCAGATAATTTCAGTAATGTTCGGAACAGGAATGTTTAGAACTTACGAACAAATTAGGTAACTATGCGGACAACATATTTAATCACCTCATACGCCGACGTTGGTTTTCGACGTTAAGCCGAATAAGTTATTTATTTTTTATAACCCAATAATACTGTTGTGTATGATACGAAATATAATACTTCGAGTAATAGTTAATTATTATTACTGATGGTCTTGAAGGCTCAATTAAACCCAAAAATAATAACAATAGTTAATTGCATACAAAAGTGAATGCAAAACTCGTACCATTATATTATGTTGTTTACTAATAATACATTTTTAATTTTATAAAAACCGATTTCTTCGTTCAAGAGACATACTAATTTTTTTCAAGTATTCTCAAATCATAAACACGAGAACCCATAGAGAGCAATAAAACTGATGTACGCACATCGTTCAGTGTGTTTACCATACTTTTAAGTTATAAATAGGTACCTTCTTTGTCGAAATTCGCTCCGAGTATGTCTTTGACGACATCGTCGGTCGCTTCGACCGTGTGCTCCCTCCACGACTCTCCGTTATCTGATCTAAGAACAACGATCTCTCGTTCGGATCCGCGGAGCGATCCGAAATTAGGCACTTCGATCATAACAGGTCTGTGATCAATTCGGAAGTAAAAACAGGTTTGTTCACAACAAGCTCGTATCAAAAGTCCTGGTTAGTAAATATAGTTACCCTAAAAATTTCGCTCCCACGGGACCGAGTTCGAGTATTCTGCTAGCCAGTGACTCTCCTTCCATCAGCGGCGGCGGGTGCACCAGTTTATCGCGTCTTAAGTACCGACAAGTGACCCGCGTGGGCATGGAAGCTCGCCGAGGTGGCACGATCACACGGACACCACTATGCCGGCATCCGCGCATCGCTCCGCCACGAGCGTCCACTAAGAAACTGACCAAGAACCTGCAATGATCTCACGGTCAGATTGCATTATTCCGCTTTAGTTATTGACTGTTATAACTGTTATAACAGCAGCTAAAGCGATTACGCACAACTATGACGTGATGTTCTGAATCAACAGGACTAAATTTTGATCATAATATAAGGGGAGAAGGGAATATTACTTTTGGCCCTTTCATACAAAAAAATTTGATTTTTTTTTTATTCAGATTAAGTAATTTGTTATAAATATTAATTGAAACAAGTATAGTATATTTGCGTTTTGTAGAATATCCATGACTCATTGATAAAAACGTATTTTATATTTGTTAGCCGATACTTATCATATAAAATACGTTTTTTTAATATTATTGAAAAATACGATTTTATTCTAATTTTAATGCACAGTTTTGCACTATATGCAATAAATAAAAAAAATGTATTTACTTATTTTTAATCTAATCAATGTTTAAAAGACTTTAATTTATTTTATAAAAATAAAAAACAAGTTAAAACATTATGGCCCCTTTCAACATACGGGCCGGGATATAGCTCCCTCTTGATCCAGCCCTGCGAATTGTACGTATAACCTAACCTAACCTTTAGTGTTAACGATAGCTGAACACTACGGTAACGATTAGGTGCACGATTCTACTTGACTAAAACACTACTCTATACCGTTGTGTTAAACATACAAATAAAAATGTTTATTCATTTACAAAATTATTGTAACACACACAGCATTTTTATTATTATGTAGGTAATTAAAATAAGCCTTACGTTTTCCATTGCAAACGTCTGTCCGAATAATGCACGCATTGTTGAAACAATAAACAATTTCGTTAAACAATATACGTTATTTTTGTTAATCAATGTTTAGCATAAAAATATAACACCAGGATACTCACCCGACGTGCGGTGGATATTTAATGATGTCGATGTTGTCCACGGGCCCACTATAACTGTCATATACTGTCTGTGGGCTGATAGCGTCGTCTATTGATGTAGGAGGAACTAAAAAATTTAAACGACCCGGTTAATATACATATCGTTCATTCGCTCGTTCGATTAAAAACGATCAGTTTCTTTTACCCGTATTGACGTCACATCTCTCGTCTCTCGTTACATCGATTGGAGCCGAGTCGTCACCGAAGCCCTTCATCTCTTCACCGGTTAAATACCTGTACGATTGTTCGTTTATCATAGTCTCTTCACCTGTTTAATAATATCACCTCTGGTTATCATATATTTATATACATATATATATATATACACACTAGTAATCAAAAACGATACAAAACGAAATAAACAATACAACTAAAACATATGTCTGTAAAGAAAAAAAAGGTGTGCATCTAAAACTATAAACGTATAGTTACTGGATTATTAATAAAATTACATGCTTTTAAAGTTAAATACATGCTTGAAGTATACATAATTAGCACGGACCAGCTGTTTCGTTATTATATACATTTTATCCTTTCGTGTTGTCTACTTCTCATAATTTACCACATATACCTATGTCAACTGTATTACCGACAATATGTTTAAGATAGGAATTGCGTAACTAAACAGATAGAATGTATTTGATATGAATAGTTTTCGCGAAAAAAGCAGATGATAATATTATGATAGATAATGAGACGTATTATTATTTTTTAATGACTTAAGATAAAACGATGGAATTATTTATATTGATATATAATTATTTGTCTACATGGTTGTAAACAATTATTTACTATTTTATTCAGTTATAGTTATGTATATAAAAAAAATTAATTATAGTACTGGTAACTAACTCAATTTGCGTTTGTTAATTTTTCAAATATATATTATTACATTATTACATTATTCCATATGCTTTATTATAAATACAAACTAAAAAGAGAAACCGTGAATATATTATGTATTGGCAGTCAAAATTCTTATAATTTTACTCAGTATAATTTTAACAATACATAAATACAAAACACTGCAATGAAATTAAATATTATTGAAAAAATACAGTAGAAAATTAAAATAACTGTTGTACTTTCAATAAAAACAATAAGTAAATTGATAACATAAAATTATCGTTTTATAATAATAATTTGGTTATTATATTTTGGACATAAATAAATAACAGGATAGTATGAAACATAACAGCTACTATTAGTATTATATTTAATACTATTAACAAAACTTTTAGTAGTATCAACTAAATATTATATTTGTAATTGTTTTGAAAGAATAAATTAGATTTATAGTGATTATTGATTTTTTTTTATATATTTTATATTGTACTTGAAAGCGTATTTACGTATAATATATTTCTAACCTGGAATATTTTCTTCTTTCTGTTTTTTAAAACAACTACAACAGCAAAACCTTCGTTTACACATTGCGAACAATTAATTTATCTTTATATTTTCTTTACAATAATTTGATTTTTCTTATTAATTTGGAAATTAAAGAAATATGATTACAGCGACCTAGTTAACGGTACCGTTGGAATAGGCAGACGTCGGACAACTAAACTTAAAAGTTATTTTTATCAATTTTTTCCTCTCTAAAGTTGATCCATTATTATGATGCTGATGATGAAGCCAAAGCGCGAAAAATCCGAAATGAGGAAAGCCAATGACGAAACGACTGGCACAGTGCCAAACGGCAGTAACTTAACTGACCAGATGGCCGGTCATATTTAATTTTAAACGAGCACTACAATTTACTACTCGGAAAAACTGGAGCGATCGACATTTATGTATGTACTGTATGTATATATATATATATACATTTTTATAATATCTCAGTCGACACCCGATGTTCAATACAGTAATATGCGAAATACGTTTTTTAAACGTTTTTTTAAATCGCTGTTTTAATTTTCGAATACTTGGAAGTTTGATGTTTAAAAATGTGTTACATTGAATCACGTGAAAATATATATACTTGGAACACGTAAAAAAAACGGGGAAATTTATTATTTTATCGATTTGATAATGAAAATATTTTATTGAGAACATTTATTTTTAATGTTAGTGTGTATACATTGATTAAATAACTATTCAGTCAATGGTATAATGTATAATATGGTATAACTGTAGTTTTATGGTTGGACAGTCGTGCCGATCTCTAAATGTAAGTATTGTGGATGCAATATCCAATTTAGGTGCATGGTCCTGTAATGAACATGGTTTAACTGGTATTTTGATACAACATTTTTAGTAATTTTGATATGAAACTGTTTCAAAATTGCCGTTATAACTCAAAATACTCAGCACTTATTCCAATTATACTCAAATATTATTACTAAGCAATATCATCTGATATACAAATCAGTGACACTGTGGTTGGCCTATACAAATTATATAGTCTGACAATTTTTTTGTTTTTCTATTATGGCCACGAAACTAAGAATTACGAATTGATAAAATTAAATTTGAATTATAAATATAAATAAAAAAACTTAGTAGATGTCTACGCTATACATTTGCATGCAACTATAAATAGTCATTATACAGGTATCAAATGAGGATTTATTTATTGCGATACATCTCATTGTGTTAAAAAAAAGATAGTAAAATTATATAAGACTTATATAATCATTAAAGTTTTTGTGAAATTAGAAAAAATTAAACTAACCATTTTACGAGGTTAGTTTTACAAACAATTTTATTGAATCAATTATTTAATTCATACATATGAAAAGTATTAATAATTTATTTGATTTGTAGAAAAATATTATTAGATGATATTTATTATTGTGGTATTTTGTTATCGGGCTCGTATTAATCCAACTTTTCTGCAAATTTTCGCATGTTTTTATTTTTCTATAAATTAAAAATATATTTATTTTTATTATTTTACTTTTTTATTAGGAGCAAATTAATGAATATAGTATTTCAATATGTTTATAAAAAAAATATTTGTATATATATATATATATATGTTACGGTAATAGTACGAATACCGGTGAAACCTAGAACATACTCGTACATTATTGCTTGGTTATTATCACAGAATTGGAAAAAATATATAATTTCGGACTTTTATAATCATTGATTGTTAATCCTAAGATTTACCAAAACTCTTTGGTAAAAGTCCGAACTTCTAATATCATTCGGGGGTTTGACCATGCAATGATGTATATCCTAGGTTTTATCGAAAACAAT